CCCCGTACGCCCTGCCGGCGGGCCGCCTCCTCCCGCGGCCTTCCTGCCCCAGAAGCCCCATTCCGCGAGCCGGGCCCCCCCGCACCACCGTCCGAAGGAGGCGGCACTCCTGGACGCCGCGGTCGCCATTCGGCCCCGCGGGATGGCTGCGGGCCGGGGCATGACGGCCCGCCGGGCCGACGGTGGCTGCCGGCCCGCGGCGCGCCCGGCCACCCTATGGCCGTGGCTGGGGACTGTGCGCGACGCACACCACCCTCTGCCAGCCCATGGAGGGGCCGGCCGCTCTCGGCCGCCATCGCACGCCCCCCGGCGTGCCAAGCTGCCGGGCCGGCGCTGGACGCCCGTGCGCGAGGGCCCCTGCAGTGCCCCTGGCAGGATGGGACCCCGGCACCGCCCGGGCGCCGCGCATTCCCCCGGGCCAGGCCGGGCCCCGGCATGCCGGTGGCCGGCCCCGGGGCGGTATGTGCCCAGCGCCACGGCCGGCGGCTGTGCATTCCGCGCTTTTCACGCAGCCCCGGGCGCGGCGACCGGCCGCACGGCAAGACGCGACCTCGCGTGGCCCCTGGTCCGGTCGCTCGCGCCGCCGGCGTGCGAGCCCCATCAACGCGACAGGCCTGTGCCGCGCACGCGACACCCCCCGCGCACGGCCGCCGCCATCTGCGACACCGGCCCACACTCCCCCCCCCCCCGCAGGCCCACTGGCCCATACGCAAGGGTGCATGTGCCCGCGGCGCTCGCCTCCCTCCTGTATAGGGTGGGGATGATGTGAGCCATGCCCGGCCCCGGCGGGAGGGCGGCCCGGGGTTCGACCCGACACGGATGCGCGCCCGGTGCAATCTGCTCGCCGGCCCCCCCTCCGTGGCAGGTGGCCGCCCGCCCCTGCCCTGGCACATTCGCCGCCACGGGCGCCGTCCGCTCGCCCGGGCGCGAGCTGCATGCCTGCCGGCCATCGGCCAAGCGCCCCGGGTGCCAACTCTGCCACAAACCCCAGGGCGCCCGGGCCCGCCCTTCCGGACGCCGCGCCCTGGCATGTGTGCCGCCCGTGAGACGGGCGAGGCGCCCGCCCCCCCCCCCCCTCCCGCTGGGCGTGGTCTGCGCGCGCACTCGTGGCCATGACCCCTGCCACTGCCCAGCTTTATGGAGCAGCCTCCCCGCCTGGCCCGGCGCCGTGCTCCCAGCCGCCACGGCCTGCGACCCCCCGGACATGCGCACAGCCAAACAGCTGCGCCCAATCGCTCGGCCACCGCCCCCGGCCGGAGATGCATCCCCCCAGCGCGCAGCCGCTCGAAGAGGAACACAGTGTCTGCGAGTGAATGATAATAAATAGTGCATTGTTATTTGCGCAAATACCTCGCCCACACACACACGCACAGGGGTCAATGCCGGCCCCTGGATCTCCGGCCCCCGCCCCTCCCGGGGCCCCTCCCAATTAAGCAGCCTCCTCGCACCGTGGTGCTGGAATGGCAGATCGCCCTCCCGAGCACCGCCAGGGCCCGCGGTGGACGTGCCCCGCTCGCGCGGGGCCCCCCGAGTGCGCCATTTCACGCACGGACCAAAGTGGGGCGCTAGTCCGGAGCAAGGTCCGGGCGAGGGGCCCGATGTCACGGGCTCCAGCCGGCCGGCGCCGCGAGGCCGTGGACAGCGCGCCGCGCCAGCGCCCGCAGACACGCTCGGAAAAAAAACCCCCCAGCCTCAGGGGCGGTGGAGGGCGCTTCGGCCCGGCCTGCACCTCGTGCCGGCAGGGCCCCGGGCCACATTGGCCCTCCGGCAGGCGGGCGCCGCCATGCCCCCGGGAGCGTGCGGCCCTCCCGCCGCCGCGCGCGGGGCGCACGACTGGCGGGGTGTTTTCGGCGCTCGTGAGTTGGGGGCCGGGCAGGCCGCTGGCGGCCCGCGCCCCGGGCCCCGGGCGGGCCTGGCAACCTGCCGGGCGCCCCGGCCGACGAAGGGGCCACGCCGGGGGACCGATCGCCCGCCGAGGCGGCCGCCCGCCGGCCGTGTGTCCTCACCGCGGCCCGGGGCCGGGCTCCGCTCCCCGGCTGCCCGTCGCATGGACACCGCCGCCCTCCGGACTGGACTGGCTGCCGCCGTGCCGCGCGGCGGCGCGCATACGCAACCTGGGCAGAGTGCCCCCCCCCCCCCCCCCCCCCCCCCCCCCC